ACTTTTATTGAAACAGATATTTGAACTAGATTATAACTTTTATAAAAGAAAGAAATAATAGGGACTAAACTAGAGCAATAAAGAAACTTTCTGGAACTAACAATCAAGATCTTAACATTATAAAAATTCAGTAGACAAACTGAAAAGGACTATCACCATTGGGAGTGAAATTAGCATCTTGGAAGTCAAGTGTAAAAAGTATCTTAAAATACAAAGAACAAAATTAAAGAGATGGTAGTCAGGAAGGAAAAAATAAGAGTCTAGGAGAAGAAATCCAGGCAGGAAGAAATTCACCAGCATGTGAATAAATGTTGTAGAAGGAAAAAAGGGAAGAGATAGTGGCGGTTAATAACTAAATAATAACCAAACTAGAAATAGGGGTATATTAGTTTGCTGCAGGTGCCATAGTTAAGTGCTGCAAACTCCATGATTAACAGAAATTTATTGTCTCATAGTTTTGGAGGCCAGAAGTCCTAAATCAAGTTGTTGGTGAGTTGTTTCCTTTGGAGGGTGGTGGGGGAGGGATCTGTTCGAGACCTTCTCTTTGTGGCTTGTAGATGGATGGCTCTTTCTCCATGTGTTTATTCACATCATCTTCTCTCAGTGCATGTCTGTCCCCTTTTTGTAAGGACACCACTCAGTTTGGATTAGAGACCACTGTAATAACCTTGTTTAAATTTGATTATCTCTGTAATGACTTTTTCCAAATAAAGAGCCACATGCTGAAGTACTGAGGTTAGAACTCCCAACACTTTTTTTTTTTGAGGAGGGATACAATTCAACCCATATTGAGGGGAAATTTTTCTGATCTTAAGAAAAAGAATTCCAAGGACTCACTGATCCCAAGGCGAATAGAGTTTATGCTTAGGCTCCTTAAAATACAAAAATCCTTGAAAGTCTTCCAAGCTTCCAGATGGGAAATAGATGACTTACAATAGAAAAAGCATCAGAGAAATAATGGATTTCTTACTTGCAGCATCAAAAGGTAGAAGACAGTAAGAATATCTACAGACTGCTGAGGGACTGTTATGCTCAGCCAACACATCATTCTATCTGTTTGAAGAAATACATTTTCACATATACAGGGAATCAGAGTTTATTACCTTCGTATTCTACCTGATGAAAATAATTTAAAGAGTTCTCTAAACAATCGAGTCAGAACAAAAATTCAAGAGGGGTAAGACAAAGGGAAGAGGAAACCATAGTAAACAATATATTTACATATAACAGATGATGAAATTTATAATAAAAATGTTTAAAAAGTAGTAAGGATTGTTGAAAAAGAAGAGCAATACTAAGAAAACTAACAGGCTGTAACCAAAACCACATCAACAAAGAGCAGTCATTAGAAGGGTGTGGAAGTAAAAACAGGACAGTGCAAGTATAGGGTCATGGTGGGGAAGGGATATTGTTACAGTATTTTCCTGAGATAGTATGGAAATAGTAGGATGGAAAAAAATTGACGTTTTGTCATTGATAATGGAAAAAGAGTATGAATGGTATGAAATTTGAAAAAAGTAAGAACTGAAGAAAGTAAGATAAATACTAATCAAAGTAAGATGAAAGAGAAAACCCATGTTCTTACACTAAATGCAAATGAGATGAATTACCCTATTGAAAGACATGTTCAATGGGACTATTCAAAACAAAAAAATAGAAAAATAAAAAAATAATAAAAATCCCAGGTGTATATTGTTTAGGGGCAGCCTTTAAAAAAGTCACCAAGATTGAAAAGTAGCAGATAATGGTAAATAGACAGGCAGGATGATTCCAGGAAAGTCCAAACCGAAGCAAATCAAAGTATATTACAGATCTTATTTGACTTAGAACTTCCCGGATAGACCACCGGAAGCTGAAAATGTATTTCATACATCTAACCTCCCGAACATCATAGCTTAGCCTAGCTGACCATAAACGTGCTCAGAACACTTAGATTAGTCTACAGTTGGCTAAAATCATCTGACAGAAAGACTATTTTATAATAAAGTATTGCATATCTCATGCAATTTATTGAATATTATACTGAAAGTGAAAACCAGAATGGTTGCATGGTTACAGGATGGTTGTCAGCGTATTGGTTGTTTATTCTTGTGACTGTGTGGCTGACCTGGAGCTGCCCATGTCACCACAGAAGGTCGTACACACATGACTAGCACAAGAAAAGATCCGAGTTCAAAATCTCAAGTATGGTTTCTAGTGAATGTGTATTGCTTTTGCACTATTGTAATGTTGAAAAATCCCAAGTCAAACCATTGTTAGTCAGGGACCATCTGTATTTATTTCAAAGAGGAATTTAAGATCTTTTAATGGTACAAGATGAAGTGTTATGAGATGATAAAAGACTTGATTTTAGAAAAAGACTTGTCAAAGTTGTTTATACTCAACAACATAACAGCTAAATATATAAATAAAAAATTCTATTATTCAATGACTCAGATCCCTTCCGAGAATAACCTTTATCTGATCAACGATTAAAATCCTCAGGTATCTTGAAGAATTTCCTTGTTGCAAATTACTCTGCAACCTTAATTTGCTGTGTGCTTTTATCTGTCCTGAGATCTAAGTAAATTTGACAAAGATGTTAGGTCTGTAAACAAGTTTACTTTTAAATTCTTTGCCTAGAAGCATCTAGACAGAATTTTGTGTGTAAAAAGAAATTTTACATCTGAAAACTAGCCATTTCAAATTAAAATTATTTTAGTGTTATAGGTGGCTTCAGGGAAGAGTTACTGAAGTTTATTTCTGTTTTGGCAGTGTGAGTGAATTACTTACAAAATTCCAAGATTTTATAGTTATTTTTATAGAGTTGTCTATTATTTGCAGAAACCACAATTTTCTGGCAGTTTTGCAAATTATCTACTCTGTGTATAGCAAAAACTTGTTTTCCGACTTCATAAAAATAATATTTTAAGATTAAGAACAAAATATATATAAAAGTACACTTTGGGGTCAATTTTTAACTCTTGTTTTTTTTTTTTTTTTTTTAATTTTTAACTCTTGTTAAGAGTTTTGAATTTGTGACACATATAAATGTATTAGTAACTACTAACATTTGTAAAACGTTTTATAAAAACATGTTTTACATATTTTATCTTATTAATATAATATAAATGTAACACCCAAACTTGAGTTGTCCATTCTGATTCAGTGAATCATAGATCTTACCCAAAGCCAAACTTTGTTAATGATTCAAAGAATACAAGCAAGCACCAAGTGCAGATGGCATATTCTTTTTTTGGAGGATCCCCAGACTGTCAGACACAGATTCCAAAAATGTCCTTTTCTTTTGCAATAGGACACATTATGGTTTTGGATTAACAGAATAGTTTTGAGCAATGTGTGCAAAAAAAAAAATTAATAAATTGCACAAAGGAAGTTGTGTTGGTTTTGGAACTTCTCTGTTTTATATTCTCTTAGTTACACAGCTTACTTGACTACCCCCCATTTTTCAGCCATAAATTAATAAATGCATAATTCCAGGCTCATTTGTGATGAGCAGTCAAGATAATTGAGCTATATCTTGCGAACAGCATTTTCTAGATAGGTACTCTCGTATTTTTCTTTTTTTTTTTGAGATTTTATTTATTTATTTGACAGAGAGACAGCGAGAGCCGGAACACAGGCAGGAGGTATAGGAGAGGGAGAAGCAACTACCCGCTGAGCAGGGAGCCTGGGGCTGGTTCCCAGGACCCTGGGATCGTGACCTGAGCCAAAGGCTGACGCTTAATGACTGATCCCCCCAGGCGCCCCTCTTTGGTATTTTTCTGCTAGTAAGTATCATTGATAGGTTTACAAGGCTACCTTCTGGTTTGAGGTCATTAGTGTATTACTGGGATCCAGGGCTGAGGTCTTTCATTTCCCCTCCCCCAGTAGGTTGAGTGGATTACCAACCTGTTCTTAACCCTTTCCTTCCCAATGCGTAAGAGTGGTGGAGTTGGTTCTATATAGAAAATTTTGCTACAGTAATCTTTTAAAAGTTTCCTTTATAAATTATCAGTGTTCTCAGTTTTGGGGGTTCATGCTTGAGAAAATGAGCAATTAAAATGGATACCTGCTGATACTGTGTAATTTCTTCAGGGTTTATATTGCTAAGTATCCAATAGGGATAACAGGTTATCCCTAAATCATAAATAGTTGCTGTGATTATTTCATATTAACATATTTCATCATAAGAATCTTCAGGTATATATTTAAAACTGCTGCCCCTTTACTAGAAATTTGAGATAATAGGAACTAAGGTTGGAGTTGGAAAGATTTATTAAGAACTTAAAGCTACTTCAATGTAGTATGTTAGGTCACACCAGAGTATGGATCCATTTGCCATTAACAAAAAGAGTTTGTCATGGTTCTCCTATTGATTGTGTTTTCTATAACCATTCTTTACAGGTGGTTTACATTGAGAAGAGCCCTCACAGCTAGTAACAGATTTTTAAAAATATCCTCTGTGAAACTCTTATTCTTAGGGAAATTTGTTCACTTACTAGGCCAAGAGCTTAATAAAAAAAACTCTTAATATAAGAAAGCTGTTCTGTCTAAAAATTCATTTTTCAAGTAGACTTGTGGGCAAGTCCAACAGTTTGCGGAGTTTACTTAGATCTTAGGACAGATGATAAGAAAATTAAAGATGTCAAAATCTGTAAGAATTTACCCACCCAAGGATTGTCGTTAGTGATGAGATAAAGATTATTCTTTGAAAGGATCAACGTCATAGAATAATAGGATTTTGAAACTACTAGAACCTTAGAACTCAATTAAATTGGCTCACTTATTTTAAAAAGAAGAAATACTACTAAATATATAATTATTAGATCCAGCGTATTATATGTTTCCTTTTGTTTTGCAAGTCCAGCTCTTAAAATCTACATGTGGGCCAAATGCCATAACTTTAAATGTGCATGTTTGGTTCTTCAGTCATATCCACAGGCCTCTCTCTGAGTTTTCTTTCAAAGATTGCACTATATTTATTCACAGAGTAATTGTTTTTTGAATTTTGCAACTAGAGCCTACTAAGATGAATGAAAAAAAGTTGGAAACAACTCCACAGCAGCGGAAACTTCCTGAATGGATGTCTGTGCAGAATGAGACCTGTCCTGCAGTAGAAGGAAAGGTATGTGGTTCACCAATTATTCTTTCAGATGGGAAATTTAGTGTAAATTTGACTGTAAAATCAGTCAGTCCTCACTTGTAAACTGCAGGTCACCATTTAAGTTAGTTGCTGTTGGGTGATTGAACCACAACCTAGTCATTTATTGGGTGAATGGGATTAAATTTTAATGGAGTTTACAAAATGGGGATTCTAACTCTGTATTTTACCTTTTTATCTAGTTTGTATGGTTGACCTTACTAGTTTGTTCTAATTTAGATAATTTAGACAGTATTTATTTTGGTGAATTTTTGTGCATAAGCAAGTTTAAGTTTTCTTAGATTCAAGATCCACCAGCCACTCTTCAGAAACTTAAAGGCAACATTATTACATCTAGAATACTAATATAATTACAGAAAAAAATTAACAAAATAAGTGCTCTTATGAAAATAGGATTAGAAGTTTGCAAATAAGCTTTTTAGAAAAATAATTTTTGGATGGCTTTATTTTTGCTATGTTGTCCTTATGACTTCGTTAGTCTATAGAACATTAGTTGATAAAACTTAGAACTATAATTTGAGTGCTTCACTGAACTTTAATTTTTCCATGAACATCTCTTATTTAACTTTATTTGTGCCTTTCTGTAATCTTATTTAACTCAAGGCATCTATTCAGAAGAGTGTTTTCGAAGATGACCTCCCTTTCTTAGAATTCACTGGATCCATTGTTTATAGTTTTGAAGCTAGTGATTGTTCTTTTCTGTCGGAAGATATTAGGTAAGAGATTTGAATTTTCTAGTTTCATTTGAATTTGGACCCTTAGAAGATAACTATTATAACAGTATTTGTAAGTATACTGAATTTTATAGTTAAGGTGTGTTCCATAGATAATCATTTCTACATGTAGAATATCATTTGACAAGTTCTAATTTTATGTTAAAAAAATCTTAAAATCACTGGATTAAATGTGTAATGTACCTGTTTGTTCATTCATAATCCTTTCTATTACCTAATTTTTTGTTACTTTCAGTATTTAAATACTTAAATAAGCACATTGTTTATTTCACCAATGTAGGACCAAAAAATGCAAGAATTATTCAACCTCCAAGTGCCCCTTTTATATTTCATTAAAAATAACAACGTAGTAGTGAATAATGGTTGTGATCAGCTCTGTTGCCTTTAGCAAATGATTCCTAAGAACATTAGAAATGACTGTTAGTATTTTTTAAAATTGCCTTGTAAATTAGGACTATGCAATAATGCAATCCAAGGCTCTTAAAGCATTTTACAAGGAGAGAAGTAGGGAATTCATTCAGATCTTCTTTGAAGTTGTATACCTGTCTTTTTTTTTTTTTTTAAACTGTTGTACATTGCAATGGTTAAAAGATACAGAGGTAAGTTAATCTATTTATTAATGATCTTCTGGTGGTAGATGAATTCTAGAAATAGTATTCAGGTGTCCTCACTCCTACTTTGGTTAACTGCCCACTTTTGGGTCTCATTATATAGAACAAAATTTGTCTCATAGAGAAGGTAAAATCGGTCATTTATGATTATATATTAACTCCACCATCTTACCTTTGTCAGTGCTCTAGCATGTCATATCTAAAGGCAATAAGCTTAAAGTGATTTGAGGAATGTAGTTCCGATGAATTCTGTGTACATTATGATAGGCAGACTTTTTTTTCTTACCCCCACTGATTACCTTAAAGATTTTTACTATCACAGGTTTTCAACAATTTGATTATGATATGCCTTTGTGTAGTGTGGTTTGTCTTCATCCTGCTTGGGGTTCATTGAGCTGTTTGGGTCTGTGGGTTTCTAGTCTCATCAGATTTAAAATATTTCTTTAGATTTTTTTTTTTTTCCCCTTATCCTGTTACTCTTTTCTCCTTCTGGTAGTCTCTATACACACAGGTTGGATTGCTTAATACTGTGTCATTGGTCATGGGGTTCTCTTCCCTTTCAGTCTTTTATTGTTTTTCTTTAATTCTTTTTCTCTCTGTGTTTTGGTTTGAATCGTTTCTTTTGCTATGTTTGCAAGTTCACTTTTTTGTAGTGTCCATCATCCCGTCCTGTGAATTTTTAATTTTATTGTATTTTTCGTCTCCAGAAGTTCCATTTGTTTCTTTTTAGAAAATATCTTCCATTTTGGCTCTCAGATTCATGTTTTCTTTTAAATATTTGAACATATTCAGCATATTTATAATGGTTGTTTTAGTGTGCTTGTCTGTTAATTCCATTATTTTAGTTATTTTTTCTATGAAATGATTTTTATCCTGTTTAGGGGTCACATTTTCCTGTTTTTTCCTACTGCCAGTGGTTTTGATTGGACATTGTGATTTTACCTTGTTGAGTGTTGGATTTGCTTCTTTTTCTTCAAAGAAAAGAGCTTTGCTCTGTCAGGCAGTTAAGTTACCTGAAGATCAGCTTTTACCTTTTGAGCCTTTATTTTTAAGCTTTATTAGGGTAGGTCGATAGGAGTCTTTACTCTGGGAATAATTTAGCCCTATAATAAGGTGTGACCCTTATGGAGTCTTTGCTGACTGCCCCAGGCGATCAACAAGACTCTCTAAGGTGACTTTTCAGAGCTTTAATGCCTCTTTCCTGCATGTAAGCCCTAGGAATTGTTCATCTGATGATTCCCTGGTTGTTCTTTGTGCATACTCTTTCTTGCCTAGCTCCCTCCTCTCCAGAAACTACTTCCAGCTCCTTCAGCGTGTCTGGCTCTGCACCCTGTCTCCCTAACTCAGTGCTCTGCTTTGACTTCTCCCTGTTCTGGTGTCTGGAAAGTCCAGATAGAAAGCGGGGGCAGCAGTAGGGCTCCCGCATGGTTTCCTTTCCCTCAGAGAGCATAGTCCTGTATTGCCTATTGTTTAGTGTCTGAAAACTGTTGTTGTTTACCTATTTTGTCCAATTTTCTGTTTGTCCAATTTTCTGTTTGTTCATAGAGGAAAGGTATGTCGATCACTGTTACTCCATCTTGGCCCAACACAGAAGTTGAGATTCTTTTGTGATACACATTTTTAATTTTTAAAAATTATAAAATACGCAAATATAAACAAAAATAGAAAATAATATAACAAAACCCTAGCTTTAGCAAATCTTAATATCCATTTTCTTTAAATCTTTAATAAGAAATGTTACGATAAAATACAGCTGAAACCCCAGGTATGTCCTTTCTGATTCTCCCCTCTGCAGCCCTCTGAGATACCTTCTATCATGAGTTCAGTGTGTAACATTCCCTCACATGTTTTCTATTATATCTATATTTTTATATCCCCAAATATCATATGCTGTTATGAGAGTCAAAAACACAACATTTTATGTTTTTTGAGAATTTTTCTTCTGGGTATATGTAGCTTTATTTTAATTTATATATAATATTTAATTGTTTCTGTATGCCACAATTTGTCCATTCTTTTGTTGATGGAAATACAGTTTGTTTCCATTTTGCCAGTAAGAGCAGTATTACAATGAACATTCTTTTTTTAAAGCAAATTTTTATTTTTTAAAGATTTATTTACTTTAGAGAGAAAGCGAGAGAGAGAGCGAGAGCGCGCACACGTGTGAGTGTGAGTGGGGGGAGAGGCAGAGGGAGAGGAGAGAGGAACCTCAAGTGGACTCCCCGTGAGCGCGGAGCCTGATGCAGGGCCAGTCCCAGACCCTGAGATCATGACCTCAGCTGGAATCAAGAATTGGATGCCTAACCGACTGGGCCACCCAGGTGCTCCTGCAGTGAACATTCTTAAACATCTGTCTGCTTGTTTGCATCTGAGAGTTTGATATATTTATGAGAAAAAACTTGCAGGTCATAGGGTTTATACATCTTCAGCTAAATATTGTCAAAGCCTTTTCTAAAAGGATTTTACCAATTTACATTCACCAGTGTTTGAGCAGTTCCACAGGTAGATATCTTTCTCAGCACTTGATACTGTGAGACTTTAATTGTTGCCACTCATATATATATGAAATTATATCGATTAATTTGCATCCGATTTCAAGTGAGATTTCATGTCTTCACATATTTATTTGGATTTATTGGCTATTTGGATTTTCTTATGGAAATTGCCTGTTTATATTTTTCCTCCCCCTCCTCCTCCTTCTTCTTCTTACTGGATTATCTGTCTTTTTCTTACCAACTTTTCAAGGAATTTTTAATATTTTCTGGCTATTTATTATCAGGTATTTGTATCATAGATATCTTCTACCATATATGGCTTGTCTTTTAATTTTTGGAATGCAGAAGTTATATAGAAGTTAAAATTTTAATGTAATTAATTTGCACTGTTTTTCCCCTGTAGCACCAGTCTATCTACTGGAGGTGTGGTAGGATTTGACATGGAATGGCCACCAATATACAATAAAGGGAAACTGAGCAGAGTTGCACTGATTCAGTTATGTGTGTCAGAGAGCAAATGTTACTTGTTTCATATTTCTTCTATGTCAGGTTGGTATCTCTTTTCTTTGTTTAATTTTTATATGGTTGATAGTTGTATTATGTCAACTTTATCCCTATAAAATTAAGCTTTTGAATTAGCTGGTGCTTCTCTCATCACCTTACATTTATTGAAGTATTCATGTTCCATCTGATTCATTCATATCCCTGTTTTATTTATTTTTACAACATCTCCATCAGGTATTGATATTATTCCTGGTTTAGACAGTATAGAACTGAAGTTTTGAGGGGCTAAATGATCAGGAATATACTGTTAATGTTAGCAGAGGAAGTTTTCAAACCAGTTGTTTTTCTTGTCATTTATCAGTCAGGACTTTGCTTTAGGTAAGAAAAGAAATGCTCAAGGTGGCAGTACCTGGGTGGCTCAGTCAGTTAAGTGGCTGCCTTTGGCTCAGGTCATGATCCCTGGGTCCTGGGATTGAGCCCCACATTGGGCTCTCTGCTTCTCCCTCTCCCTCTGTGCTCTCTCTCTCAAATAAGTAAATAAAATCTTTTAAAAAAATACTCAAGGTGAATGTGTTTCTGAATTTAAGCTTAACATAAACAAATTTAAATATAAACATAGAATGTGTAAGAAGTAGAAAATAAATCAATAATACTTGATAGAACCTATGGAAATAATAATAAAATGTTACAGTTTTTCCTCAGGGATTAAAAATGTTGCTTGAAAATGAAGCAATTAAAAAAGCAGGTGTAGGAATCAAAGGAGATCAGCAGAAACTTCTGCGTGACTTTGATATCGATTTGAAGAATTTTGTGGAGCTGACAGATGTTGCCAATGAAAAGGTAGGCATAAGGTGTGCACTTGTTGTGATGAGCCCCTGGTGTTGTGTGGAAGTGTTGAATCACCATGTTGGGACACCTGAAAATAATATTTCACTGTATGTTAACTAACTGGAATTTAAATAAAAACTTAAAAAAAGGTAGATGTAGTACATATATTATTTTCATAAACAAGATTGTGTTTCACAGAATGTCCCATCTATCTGAATGTTAGATATTTTGAAAAAAATACTTTAAGCTGTATGTTATTGTAACAATAAAGAAGTCCCAAATGAGTATTCCATAATGAAAACCTTCAGTTCTAATCCATTGCCTTAGAGAAATTTCTTTAAGCTAGCACCCCCCTTTAGTACTATTTCACTTTATTTCATATATTTGTATATTTAAATATTGTATTTTAAGTTTTTCCCTTTGATCCATTTATACCAATAACAGTTTTTTTTTTTTTTAAGGGAAAGCATAATGTAGCTCTTGTGGTATGATGGGCTTAGTGGAGGTTTGGCCATCAATTCCGTCACCCTTATTTCACATATTTTATTAATGTAGTCATTAAGTTAAATTCACATGTTTAGCCAGATAGTCACTGGGCTGGATAGAAAGCGTACCAACCTATCCAGCTTTTTTCCATGAATAATACTTTTACAGTCCAAGAATTTTAATACCTACATTGGGGAAATTCCAGAGTTCAGTTCTTATAATGTGGACTGAAAATGAGGTTTCTAGTGATGGGAAATTTATTAAGGACTATCTCTGCCATATATTTTGGTGATAACATTTCCAACTTTATTTGCGGCATGGGCATTTGATGGTATTTAGGAATATCTGAAAATAGAATTTTTTGCAGTATTGATTTTTCATTACTTCTAGCTGAAATGTACAGAGATCTGGAGCCTCACTGGTTTGGTTAAACACCTCTTTGGCAAACAGCTTCTGAAAGACAGATCTATCCGCTGTAGCAATTGGAGTGATTTTCCTCTCACTGAGGATCAGAAACTATATGCAGCCACTGATGCGTATGTATGTACCAAAGATCTTTAAATTATGATGTGTTTTTTATACTTTATAATAAATTACTTTAGAAGAATTTTGTTGTAATGGTTGTACAAACTCAACTAAAATATTTTAAATCAGGTTGGCATTAAAAATGCTTAAGAAGACATTCAGTGAAACTGATAATTCTCAATACTAATTAGCAAGTACCAATCAAAGTGCTAGTATTTTTAATTGTCATGAAGCCAAAATAATGTCCAATTTATGTGTAATAAATGTAATCTCTCTGAAAACATGGAAAGCTAATAAACACAGGCTGAGTAAACGCAAATGGTACTGATGATGTATTTGATTTATAAACAACTTCAGATAAAAATAATTATAGTTTCTATATTGAAACTGGCATTATTTCTTACAGTTACATTTAAAATGTGCTAAAAATTTAGGAAAATTACCTCCAAATTTAGCTTTCCACTGCTGTTAGTCAGTTGTATTTTCATATTTACATATTCATACATACTGAAATTTGGGCTTATCTTAATGTATTATTTGTTTTTTGTTTTTGTTTTTTGCAGAAAATATATTTTATGTCCCTGTGGATTTCTTTTTCCCTAATTTATACTTTCATTTGTAGATGAATATCTTGTTGTTTCCCTTTTTGCATCTGTTTTTAGGCCTGGAAACTCCTTTTTTTAAAAACAGAAAAAAATTCAATCTTGTCAGGAAATAGGGTGATAATTTTCCTTTACATACTGTTAAAAAAAAATCGTAGAACTTGTTGAGAACTCGTGCAAGTTCTGTAGCATTTTTATTCATGAAAAATCAGTGTGACTTGGTTGTTCCTGTTAACAGTGCCTGGAAGGAGGGCTGTTCATACGCCGACATTCACAGCTGATTTAATGAGATACGGGGGAGTGGATATGTGTCGCCAAAACAGATTTCTCTTACTTGATTGTATTTTGTTGGAGTCCCACTTATAAGTTACTTGATTTGGATAACTCCTTAAATATCGAATATTAAAAGATAAAAATTTAAAACTTTTAAGGCGCAAGCAGCTTACTTTCTCCGTTCTCGAAATTGGTGTGGTGATTTAATGAAGACATAGATCTTTGTGTAACACAGTAAGTTGAATGCAGCTTTTTGGGTGCTTTGGGAGTCACTCTTCTGGATTTTTCTAAAGATGGGACATATAGCTTTATTTTGGTTATCTTTAGCATACTCTTCACCTTTCTGCTTTTTCTCTTAATAGGCCGGTCTCATCATTTATCAAAAATTAGAGATTTTAGGTGGTGCTGTGCAAAGGTTTGCTATAAATAAAAAAGGTATGTGGTGCTCTAAAAATAAAAGATAAAATTTGAATTTGCTCTTTTGTGAGGTTTATCTTCAAAAAGTGAATATTTACACATGTGCAAACTGTTTAGTGTTACAACTTCTTGAGTGTCTGAACCGTGTTGACAATAGGGTGTGAGATCTCTCTGGTCAAAGATTAGAGTTTCAGGCACATTACTTGTGGCAGAGGAGGACTTACTACTGCTTTGTCACATTGCTATTCCTTAGGCTTCTTTAGGTGGGGCTTTGTGGCTTTGATAACATCAGTGACACAACCAATTATCTCCCAGGCTGGAGATTATTACATCCTTGCTATAAATAGTTAAAGTGTACTAGTTACTTTATAGTGTCCTGGTTTAAATTTCTAAATTTTTTCTAGGGTAAGATAACTGCCGTTTTTCTCCAAAAAGTATGGCCACTTTGTTCAACTTCAGTGCTTTTCTCAGATACCTCAATAGGTCAGCGATAGCAGACCTGCATAGTAGAGTGGAAGAGCATGGGCTTTCATGTCACAGAAATCAAAGGGGAATCCCTGCCATGTGACTTGAGGTTTACATGTTTCCCCATGTTTGGAATGTAGCTGATAGCCACATACCTATTGCATAGAATAGTTGTGAGCACTAAGAGGAACAGAATATTATAAGCACCTGTATTGATCTACGGAGTTGTTATTCCTTTTTTTTTTTTTTTAAAGATTTTATTTATTTATTTGAGACAGAGAGAATGAGAGAGAGAGAGCACATGAGAGGGGGGAGGGTCAGAGGCAGAAGCAGGCTCCCTGCCGAGCAGGGAGCCCGATGCGGGACTCGATCCAGGGACTCCAGGATCATGACCTGAGCCGAAGGCAGTCGCTTAACCAACTGAGCCACCCAGGCGCCTCAGCGGAGTTGTTATTCCTATTCTTGTAGCTTCTTTTGGAGATTTTAAATAGTTGTGTTTGTTATGATGTTAATTAAATGAGGGGCGCCTGGGTGGCTCAGGCATTAAGTGTCTGCCTTTGGCTCAGGTCATGATCCTGGGGTCCTGGGATCGAGCCCCGCATCGGGCTCCCTGCTTCTCCCTTTCCCACTCCCCCTGCTTGTGTTCCCTCTCTCGCTGTCTCTCTCTCTCTCAAATAAATAAATAAAATCTTAAAAAAGATGTTAATTAAATTAGTGATTTTGCTAAATAAGCTTAAAGATATGGTGTGACCTCCTCATATAAAATTATATTGTACCCTTATTAATTGCCATTGAGAAGGGATTCATGTTCTTTGTAATAGACCCTCCTTCTTTACCTAATAAGGTAGAAGACCCCTTATGCTTTCTTTCTTTCCCTGGAAAGCCACTTCTGATGAGAGCTTCCTGACTCTCTATAGCCAAAGGTACTGTGGCTAGAAATTACCTTGCTTAAATTGAGCGGATGATAGTTTTTTGAAGCTGATCTGGAGAACGATATAGAACTTATTTAAATCATAACAGAATTAAACTCAACAGAGGGGATTCATGGTTTTCTGAATTTGTGGTTTGCAGAATTACTTCTAGGTTATACATGCAATTTTGTCTCTGATTAAAATGCTTCTAAGGAAATGTTTAAGATATTTCTCACTAATGTACCATATATTTAAAGTCGCCACTAGAAGTCCTGGTATCAGTGTACCTGTCATTTCAATACTGCATTGTTTGACCCTCACTTTTATTCTTTATTGCATTATATGTGTGAGTAAATTTTGTTTGACATCTGAAGTGAGGTACCTTGACTAGGATCCTAGTGAATTGTAACAAAGATTACCAGTCTTTCTTTTTTTCCTCACTCCCCCTCCTCCCTTCCTGTTATGAAGCCAGAGGTATCAACCTCACTGTTGTTTAATTTCCCTGGTGTATTTATATATGATATTTTCAAATGACCACTTTTGGTTATACAATTGTGTTTTTTCTTCTTATTAAAGAATTAAAGTGGATTATAATATCAGAAAATAAAAGGATATTGCACATTGTTTCTCCTTGTTAAAATATTAGCTTACTCCAGGATGGTCCTAATAAACACTAAACAAGATACCAGATAAAAATAAACTTACTCATTTATTAAAATTTTTTTAGCACTTTATGATGTGGGGATACAGTAATGAATAAGGCACTCATGATCTGCTTCCTGAGAGGGAAATCTACAGGTTTGTAGGGGATATAGAGATGAACAAAAAAGGCATAGGTATAGGGAGATGAGTCTCATGATGTGGGAAAACAAGGCGTTGTGGTTAGCACATAGGAGAGCCATCTGATACATATTTGGAAGTATTGCAGTATTTCCTGGAGAAAGTGATGTTTAAGGCAAGACCTGAAATAGGAACAGGAGTTAGGTAGCGGAAGAGTAGAGGAAAAGTGTCATAGGCACAGGAAACAGCAGGTGGAAAAAGAGATCATAGTATCGACAGGCAACTTCATGAAAGTAGTTCAGCGTGGTGAACTGCTGAATATGATGGAGTGAGGGATAGAGATGCAGAACAAGGAAAGCAGATAGGCCATGTTTACATGAGGAGTTTAATTTCCTCCTAAGAGGTATTGGGGGGTTTAAACACAGGAGTGACATGAATTACATTAAAAAAAAAGAAAAAGAAAAAAAAGAATAACTTGGGCTGTAGAGTAGAAAATGGATTGTAGCTGGGCAAGGGTCATGGTGGGAAACCTCCTTAGGAGGCTGAGAGAGCAATCCAAGGGAGAGGCAGTGGTGACCCGGCTTGGATGGTTGTATTGAGAGTGGAGAAGGGGATAGATTCTAAATACATTTACTAGAGTCAGCAGAATTTGGTGTGATGATGACAGCCATGTGTCAAGGATCATTACTGTGTTGTTGCCACGAACAACAGGGGTGAAAACCACTGAAGAGAAGGAGCAAGCTTTGGAGCTGAGGAGTCACAGTTGATTTTAGACATGTTAAAGGAAGGAGGGCTGTCAAATAGCAAGGTGGAGGTGGCCAGGGGCACTTAGATATCCAGGCTGTGGCTCAGAGGGCAGTTTTTGTTAGAGATAAAAAACTGGGACTAAGAATTTTGAGGAACTCTTAGTATTTCATGTTTGCATGGGGGAAGGGACAGCAAAGGAGTTGCCTGCCATTGGCATAGAAGGAAATTAGGAGATACGGTGTGCCGAAAGCTAAGTGAAGAGCTACATAGGAGCAGTTATCAATCTGTTTTAAGTCCTGCTGAGAATTTGAGAAACTGAGGATTTAGAATTAATCATCAGTTTTGGCAACATGGCAACCATTTGTAACCGTTGACCCCAGCAGCTTTGGTGTATTGGCTGACAAAAGAGTGTTCCGGGGAGAGAGTGGTTTTTGGGGGCATGTGCTATTAAAACAGAAAAGGGTCCACAGGCTTTGGGAACATAAAGGTGCTATAAGCAGAGCAAGAGTGGAGTAGTGGAGTGGTGTGAGTAGAAATCACATTAACATGAATAGAAGAGTTATTAGATCTAAGGAACATGAGAAAGTATGTATAAATAACTTCTTTTTTAGAAGATTGGTTTGGAAAGGGGCTACTCATTCATTCATTCATGTGACATATTTGATGGGTTTTTATTATGAGTCAGGCACAGTTTCAGTTATAGGGGAAAGTGGACTGAACACAGGAGACCAAGCGCCTTCACTTCATTTCACTGAAATGAGCGAAAGAGCCACGTGACTATCTGAGGGAAGAATGTAGCAGGCATCGGGGAAAGAGCTAAGTGTCTGAGGGTGATTGTTTGCCTTATTTGAGGAACAGTGAGGATAACTGAAGCAAAATGAGTAAGGGTCAGAGTGGGAGGAAATGAGGCTAGAAAAGGAGCTTAGGCCGGATCATTTAGGGCCTTACAGGTGGTGACTATGGCTTCATATTTTATTAATTACAATAAATATAAAGTAGAGTGATGGGAAACCCTAGAGGGTTTGGAGCAGAAAAATGACGTGATTAAATTTAACAGGATTTTTTTGTTTTTGTTTTTGGCTGCTATAAAAGGGCAAGTGTTTAGACAGGGAAGGCTGTTAGGCTACTATAGTAGTCCCAGCAGGAGATGACACTTGTTTGGATTAGGCTGGTAGCAGTAGAGATGGTGAGAAGTGGTAGATTGTGTATATGTTTTGAAGGTGTAAATTGTGAAGGATTTGCTGATGAATTCTCCATAAGGGGTAAGATCTAGAGACTGAGAGGACAATGTTTATTTTGGTTGGATCAGCTGAGTGAATGGAAGGATCAATTATGGTGGAAAGATTATGGGAAAAGTGGGTTTGGGTGAGAAAAATGTAGATTTCAGTTTTGGATATGCTAAATTTTAGGTGCTTATTGATATTCAAGCAGATATCACAGTTGGAAATGCGATTCTGGAGTTCAGGGGAAAGGTTGAGGTTGGAGATGTAACTTTGGGAAACATTAAGATATAGATGGCAGTTAAAGCAGTGAAAGGAGATGAAAGAGGGAGTGACTGGAATAAAGAACAGAGGGGGCCCAAGTATTGATGTAGAGGGCACACTGACATTTAGAGATCAGGGAGATGAAGAGAGCGCATTGAAGAGGGTCTGAGAAGGGACGGTAGTGAAAGATGGAATGTTGAGAGGTGTCGTGTCCAGAAGCCTCAGGAAGAACATGTTTTAAGGAGGAGGAAGTTATCACCTGTTTTAAATAGCTGAGAATCTGAAGGGGATGAGGAACTAGACCTGACAATTAGATTTGACAGTGTGGAGGCCCTGGGTAACCTTTCCCAAAGCAGCCATGCTGTACTGGTGGGGGCGAAGGCTTGGTTGGAGTCTGTTTAGGGGAAAATGGGAGTAGAAAATTTGAGACAGTGCGTGTGGACAACTCTTTCATGGAATTTTGCTGTAAATGAGAGTAGTTCTGTGAGTACAGACTAATTAGCAGATGGGGGGTGGGAAGATGAGATAGTTTTCTTTTTCTATTTTCTTAGTGTAATGAGGAGTGAGGTTGTTCCCTGAGTAAAAGGAGGAGCAAGCAGATGTTAGAGGCTTGGAGAGAAAGAAAGAGGTATGAAATAGTCATCTCGTTAGTAGGAAAGTGGGAAATATAGAATATTTAACAGTCACTACTGAGGATTCCTTTGAGATCTCTGTCATGAATTTAAAGCAAGCTGAGTCATCTTGGCTGTGTTTTATCTTCAACTATAATCAACTCTTTGAGTATAGGCATCAAGTAGGTAAAAAAGCTGGGTTTAATTAGAATAGGGGTTTTCCTAGATAAAAAGTACCACGGAGGGAGGAAGGAGCAAAAGAGGTCAGAGTCCAGACGTACAAGGGAATGATTATTAAAAATGGGTAAGAAAGGAAAAAAGACATTGTGGGGAGTGGGAGGGATAAAGTATATGGAAAAGGTGATAGGATCAGTGGATTTGGCTCTGAAAGTGGAAAGAATAGTTGTATTGGGGAGGGCATCCTGGAAAGCAAGCCAGCATGCTGGTGTTCAGAGGGTGGAATGCTTACAATTGAAGTTTGGAAGTAGTGACTTTATTGGCAATTATAAGGTCAAATGACTCTCGAATGGGTGGCTGAAGTCAGTGGAGGAAAAGATTGTTGGAAATGGAAGGATCAAAGCACTGAAAAGGCCACACTTTTAGGTGGAATTATCACAGGTGTAGTAGTGAAGGGAAAGACAGTGAACCAGGCAGTAAAATCTTCAATGAATGAAGGGATGTGATTTTGAGGTCACAAGATGCGGCAATCAGGAATAACAGATGGTACAGTCCTATGTCGCATGCTTCAGAGGAGCTGGACTTTTGAAGGACAAGAGAAAATGGTGATGAGCTGTAAGAAACTCTAAGCAGGGGCGCCTGGGTGGCTCAGTTGGTTAAGCGACTGCCTTCGGCCCTGGAGTCCCGGGATCGAGTCCCGCATTGGGCTCCCTGCTCGGCAGGGAGTCTGCTTCTCCCTCTGACCCTCCCCCTTCTCATGTGCTTTCTCTCTCTCTCTCTCTCAAATAAGTAAATAAAATCTTTAAAAAAAAAAAAAAAAGAAACTCTAAGCAGGGGAAGGATTCGAGGAAGGAGCACAGGTGTGGTGTTGATGGAGAATGATGTACCAGACAGGATGAAGTTGAGAGTTTGGAAGATAACTGCTGATTGGAAAGGCTTGCATTTTATTTTGGTCATGACTGATAAGAAGGGAAGTGAGGCATGGCTGTTGACTCAGGTTATGTTTACTAAACTATGTTTCGTAACTAATAGCCCACCGAAATCAGTTCTGATTTTGATAGTGTAGATGGGTTCAGATTCTCATTTCTGCCTTCTTCTGCCTAGGTTGGTAACCACTGGTTGTAATGTGTATGAATGTAGATCATTTGGAATTTATTCTAAAATTCAAGTAGCAAAAATCTGAAAGGGAAATAAAGTGAGGTGATATGGAGATAGAATAAGGAAGTCCTTTTGTTGGAATTCACTTAAGGAAAGAAAATGAAAATGTGACCCCTAATACTGTTTAAATAAATGGCTAAATAAATCTCTCTGCTTTGTGGTTTGAAAATTAACATTGATTCTTTTTGTCCAGAGGAGGAAATGCTACCTAGTGATGTGAAGAAACAATTGACTTCAATCTCTGAGGATATGATGGATCTGGCTAAGCGTCTTCCTGACACTTTGAAAAAATTGGAAAATCCACAGAGGTTATATATTACCTGTTTTTACCAATTCTGTTTGTTCTTACTGCACATTCCTATTTATAATGAATTACTGTTTATTAAGGTAGACTCAGAAATTTTCAAAAACATTTTTTATTTAAATTCAGTCTAGTTGACGTATACTGTAGTATTAGTTTCAGGGGTAGAATTTAGTGATTCATCAGTTGCATGTAACACTAAGTGCTCATTACATCATGTTCCCTCCTTAATGCCCATCACCCAATTACTCCATTCCCCCACTCACCTCCCCTCCAGCAACCCTCTGTTTGTTTCCTATAGTTAAGAGTCTCTTATGGTTTGCCTTCCTCTCTATTTTCATTTTTTTAAATTTTTCCTTCCTTCCCTATGTTCATCTGTTTTGTTTATTAAATTCCATATATGAGTGAAATCATATGGTATTTGTCTTTCTCTGACTGACTTATTTTGCTTAGCATAATACCCTCTAGTTCCATCCAGGTCGTTGCAAATGGCAAGGTATCATTCAGGACACTGGGATCATGACCTGAGCCGAAGGCAGACAGTTAACCAACTGAGCCACCCAGGTGCCCCGCAGGATTTCATTCTTTTTGATGGCTGAGTAATATTCCATTATATATATATATATATATAGACACACCCACACACACACACACACCCACACACACACACCCACACATCTTTATCCATTCATGAATCAGTGGACATCTGGGCTCTTTCCATATTTTGGCTATTGTGGACATTGCTGATATAAACATTGGGGTGCACGTGCCCCTTCAAATCACTATGTTTGTATCCTTTGGATAAATACCTAGTAGCTCAACTGCTGGGTTGTAAGGTAGTTCTATTTTTAACTTTTTGAGGAACCTCCATGCAGTTTTCAGAGTGGCTGCACCAGTTTGCATTCCCACCAACAGTGTAAGAGGGTTCCCCTTTCTCCACAACCTTGTCAACATTTGTCATTGCCTGAGTTCATTTTAGCCATTCTGACAGGTGTGAAGTGGTATCTCATTGTGGTTTTGATTTGTATTTCCCTGATGCCTAGTGATGCTGAGCGTTTTTTCTTGTGTCTGTTGGCCATTTGTATGTCTTCTTTGGAGCAAATGTCTGTTCATATCTTCTACCCATTTCTTGCCTGGATTTTTTTTTTTTTTTTTTTGGTTGTTGGTTTAATAAAGTTCTTTATATATTTTGGATACTAGCGCTTTGTTTGATAAGTCAGTTATCTTCTCCCATTTCATAGGTTGCCTTTTAGTTTTGTTCACTGTCTCCTTTGCTGTGCAAAAGCTTTCTATCCTGATGAAGTCCCAATAGTTCATTTTTGCTTTTGTTTCCCTTACTTTGGAGACATATCTAGCAAGAAGTTGCTGCAGCCAAGATGAAAGAGGTTGCTGCCTGCATTCTCCTCTAGCATTTTGATGGATTCCTCTGTCACATTTAGGTCTTTCATCCATTTTGAGTTTATTTTTGTGTATGGTGTAAGAAAGTGGTCCAGTTTCATTCTTCTGCATGTGGCTGTCCAATTTTCCCAACACCATTTGTTGAAGAGACTGTTTTTCCATTGGATATTCTTTCCTGTTTGGTCAAAGATTAGTTGGCCATAGAGTTGAGGATCCATTTCTGGGTTCTCTATTCTGTTCAAAAAATAGAAATGGAAGGAAATGTTCCTTCTATCCATATTTTCTTGAAGGTTTTTATAAAGAAAGGATGCTGCATTTTGTCAAATGCCTTTTCTGCATCTGAGAGGATCAAATGGTTCTTATACTTTCTTTTATTAATGTGCTGTATTACGTTGATTGATTTGCAGATATTGAATCACCCCTGAAGCCCAGGAGTAAATCCTACTTGGTCATGGTGAATAATCCTTTTAATGTACTGTTGGATTTGATTAGCTAGCCTCTTGCTGAGAATTTTTGCATCCATGTTCATCAGGGATATAGGTCTGTAATTCTCCTTTTCAGTGGGGTCTTTGGTTTTGGAATCAAGGTAATGCTGGCCTCATAGAATGAGTTTGGAAGTTTTCCTTCCATTTCTATTTTTTGGAACAGTTTCAGAAGAATAGGTATTAATTCTTCTTTAAATGTTTGGTAGAATTCCCCCGGAAAGACATCTGGCCCTGGACTCTTGTTTGTCGGGAGATTTTTGATTACTAATTCAATTTTCTTTCTGGTTACAGGTTTGTTCAGGTTTTCTATTTCTTCCTGCTTCAGTTTTAGTAGTTTATATGTTTCTAGGAATTTATCCATTTCTTCCAGATTGTCTAATTTGTTGGGATATAATTGCTCATGGTATTCTCTTATAATTGTTTGTATTTCTTTGGTGTTGGTTGTGATCTCTCCTCTTTCATTCATGGTTTTATTTATTTGGCCTTTTTTTCTTTCTGATAAGTTCTTGAGGGGTTTATCAATCTTATTAATTCTTTCAAAGAACCAGCTCCTAGTTTCGTTCATCTGGTCTATTGTGTTTTTGATTTCTCTATCATTGATTTCTGCTCTAATCTTTATGCTCTTCTCCTGCTGGATTTAGGCTTTAGGTGTAAGGTTAGGTTGTGTATTTGAGACCTTTCTTGTTTCTTGAGGAAGGCCTGTATTGCTATATATTTCCCTCTTAGGACTGCCTTTGCTGCATCCTAAAGGTTTTAAACTGTTGTGTTTTCATTTTCATTTGCTTCATGTATTTTTAAAATTCTTCTTTAATTTCCTGGTTGACCCATTCATTCTTTGGTAGGATGTTCTTTAATCTCCATGTATTTGTGGTCCTTCCAAATTTCTTTTTGTGGTTGACTTCAAGTTTCATAGCATTGTGGTCTAAAAATATGCATGATATGATCTCAATCTTTTTGTACTGGTTGAGATCTGATTTGTGACCCAGTATGTGATCTGTTCTGGAGAATGTTCAACATACACTGGAAAAGAATGTGTATTATGCTGCCTTAGGATGAAATGCACTGTATATATCTGTTAAGTCCATCTGGTCCAGTGTGTCATTCAAAGCTCTTGTTTCCTTGTTGATCTTCTGCTTTGATGATCTGTCCTTTGCTGTGAGTGGACTGTTAATGTTCCCTACTATTACTGTATTATTATCAATGAATTTCTTTAATTTTGTTATTAATTGGTTTATATAGTTGGTGCTCCCAAGTTAGGGGCATAAATATTTACAATTATTAGATCTTCTTGTTGGATGGACCCCTTTATTATGATATAGTGCCCTTCTTCATGTCTTATTGCAGTCTTTGGTTCAAAATCTAGTTTGTCTGATATAAGAATGGCCTTCCAGCTTTCTTTTGATGTTTATTACCATGATAAATGGTTCTCCACCCCCTCACTTTCAATCTGGTGGTGTTTTGGGGTCTAAAATGAGTCACTTGTAGACAGCATGTTGATGGGTCTTGTTTTTTTATCCATTCTGATACCCTCTATCTTTTGATAGGAGCATTTAGTTCATTTACATTCAGAGTAATTATTGAAAGACATGAATTTAGTGCCATTGAATTACTTGTAAAGTCGCTGTTCCTGTAGATTGTCTCTGTTCCTTTCTGGTCTTTGTTACTTTTGAGCTCTCTTTCTGCTCAAAGATCCCCTTTAATATTTCTTGCAGGGCTGGTTTAGTGTTCACAGATTCCTTTAGTTTTTGTTTGTCCGGGAAACTCTTTATCTTTCCTTCTATTCTGAATGACAGCGTTGCTGGATGCAGTATTCTTGGCTGCATATTCTTCCCATTTAGCACATTGAATACATCATGCCAGTCCTTTCTCGCCTGCCCGGTCTCTGTGGACAAGTCTGCTGTCAGCCTCATGTGGGTTGACTGATAGAAATTTGCTTCAGTACATGCACGTAGACTGATCTATAAATTTGAGAAATATCTTTCCAGTTGTTAAATTGCCCATTAAGAAGTTTAAGGCTTTTTTATCTGCTTTGTAGGATGTTTTATGAAACAAGGCAAAATAAAATTCAGATGTCCACAGAAAGGAAAATATTTTCAATTCAAAGTTGTCTTTTTCTTTTGTTATGGGCATCTCTCATTTAATTATATTCATGGTTTGGTCACCTAAAATGTATAAATAAAAACAACTTTTATATTTAGTAGCTTCATTTTTTGGGTTTTTATCTGATTTTATAAATAGGAATTTTACGTAATCACTAGACTATTAGAACAGGAGGCATTCAGATTTTAAATGCCATTTTATAGCTAAAGCCCTAGATAATTTGAGATATTTGGATTAATAGACATTGGATTACCAGTGCCTTGTAGCTAACTCTGGAACCAGACCTTTCCCTAGCCTTAATTGCTGAATGACTTCCTTTAATAGCAGGAATGCTCTTGAACAGGGAATTATTACAATATAGTTATATATTGAGGCAAAAATACTTTGTAGAATGTCATGCAGTTAGTTGAAACAGAATTCTGATTCTGACAAAATACAGTGTTAGTGTATTTTTTTTGGCTGAGATTTGTGATAAATTTTGATTCTGATATTTCAAAATATGATGATTCAGCTCTTTTTCAAAGTCCTTTTTCCCCCCTAGCAATTTGTTTTAGTAGTTTTTATGTAACCGAGAATTTCTGAAAGACGTAACTGTCAAATGGGGATAGGTAACAATAAAGCCATTTCATATTCAATTTTACATTTTTCCCTCTGAAAGAAAAATAATCACTTTTATGTGATGTTTACATGTATTTCAGATTTTTGTTCTAGCACTTAAACTATTGAATGTAAATTATGTCTGCTTAATGCTTTGCTTTGTAATAACAAAGCTAAATAGGTTTTCTTAAAACTTGAGAATGGGAAATAACTGGATTCATTTTTTAGTAAAGAAAGATCTTGTCAAGTTTCAGTGTCAAACAAGGACTAGTTAAATTTATTTCAGGTTCTTTGTAAGAAGCCTACAGTAATACCTAATTTACCAAATCACTCCTCAAAACCAGAGAGGAACAAAAAATGCTAAATACATTTAACATTCTGAATGCTAAAATACATGCCATAAGCGTGAGTTCAAACTCATTTAACTGCATTTCCAGTGGAGTGCATGAGGGGACATTCAGAGCATATTTGCTTCTCATTTATAGATACAGTTTGATAAGCTTAGATATCCAGTTAAAATGAAAAGCAGGTATTGATAAGGAATGGGATGCACATGACCACAGCTAGAAGTTAGAGCTGGCAATCTGTGAAAGAGTGTACAAAAGTGTAAAAATTAGAACTGAGAACTTGTAAAATAGAGTACTTTGAGTTTTGTTACAGAAGGGAACAGCTGTATGCTTCAGTGGACCTGTAAGCTATTGGATTGTACAGTATTACTCATTGATTTAAATTCATTACACATCTGTTATATTGCTGTCATATACTTAACATTCTGTTGGGTGCTGAGGCTTTCTGTAGGCTACTAATATGCATAATAACAATCCTAAGAAAGAAGGAAAAGTATATTATGTTTTACCAAAGACAGCCTTTGATATTTGTTAGAGTAAATAGTTATCTTACGTGAGATATGTCATTCTCCGATGTTAGCACAGAATAAATGGGCCCTTACAGTCTTATCAATCTGTACCTCACTGTCACTGTGTTTATGTGTTACAACTTTCCTATGCATTCCTACTGAAGTATTTACGTACAGGTCTTATATTTGAATACCTGTGTATAATAAATACTGAGTGTTCTTTATCAGATTTGAATTTTGGAATGTTAGAATTAGTGAGTTTTTAGGTTTTAAATTAATTTTGATTTGATTTTGTTTGTATTGATGTGGACTTGTCACCTTGAGCACAACTTTGGTGCTATTTTTAGCATGGAAAAAAATCATGAAACAACTCAGCATTTTTTTTCTTTTTTTTTTTTTTTACTTTTTTGTTGTTTTTATTATGCACTCATTAATACACTGCATAACCTTCTAGAAGGGGTAGATGAGTATGACTGAACAACTCAGCATTTTTGATAGTCTACCCATAAATGATCAAATTTTTATTTGAATCATCAATATAAAACTTTAAAAGTCATGTTGGATTTTATGAAGTATTGTTTTCAATATAAAGGAATTAGAAGAGCTAAACAAAAGTGTTAATTAAATTGGAAAAATGTCTCAATCATATTCCCTTTTCTCCCTCGAACTTGTACTTTTATGAAGTAACTAAAAATTGCTTTAGTAAACCCTTTAACCAACAGATAGTATGCTTTATTTTACACTCTAGCAGTGGTTTTCCTTTGCAGTTAACCAGGTTTGTTATAAATAGCTGTTTAAAGTCACTTAGTTAGAGGTGCTGGGTGGCTCCGTCGGTTAAACTTGTGCTTTCAACTCAGGTCATGATCTCAGGATCCTGGGATCGAGCCCTGCATTAGGCTCCCTGCTCAGTGGGGAGCCTGCTTCTCCTTCTAGCTCTGCCCCTTCTCCCCACTCGTGCTCTGTCACTCATGTTCTCTCTCTCTCAAATAAAAAAAAAAAAATCTTAAAAAAAATGAAGTCATAAAATATAAAAAAATAAAAAAGTCACTTAGTTAAAATGTTATATTAGCAATTACAATTAAGGAGTTAAGAAATTCATATCATATTTATTCATAAACAACTTCTCCATATTTTCTTATTTGTTATATTTGTGCACTGAAGGGAATTTTTTTTTTCTGTTCTGAAGAACATGTGTCTGGTTTTGTGATTATTGAACTTGCACAGTAGCATCGTTTTTGAATTATAACATAAACACTCTTATATGTTACAGTTGGGACTAGTAATTGATTGGCAAATTGAATCAGTTAAAACATGGTAACTTAATATATTAGTGTATATTTGTTTCCCAATATTTTGATATTTATCATGGTTTTTTCATTAAATATAGGACTGCTCTTTGGAATTTTGCAAAGTGGTTCTTGTTTAAGGCACACCCATAACGTATCATCTGCAATTTCTAGTTTTAATTTCTTTAAAATGGAGTGAAAACTTAAGACACTTGAAATAATCTAAAGGCAGAGTCCTAGGAGTTTTTAAGAGTTTTCCTCCTTTTATAGTTGTTTTGACTATAGTTAATCAGACAGAAGTTTTTTTAAAAAAGGAAATTGCTGTGTCTTTCAACATGTTCAGCTTAATTTTTTTTTTTTTTGGTGGTCATGTATCATTAATTTGACATATTTAATTAAATTAATTACCACAAAAAGTATATCTGGCATAAAGAATTAGTCTGTGACCAAACACTACTGACACTTAGGAAGCATACAAGTGAATAAGCGTATAAGCATATATACTTACTAAGTGTACAAGTTGAATGTAGAAGTACCTTGCTGTTCTAGAGAGTAGCCAACAGCTCTAAGCATATTTTGGTTATTAGGGAATGAAAAATAACTGTAATCCAGTGTGTCCTTTAAATGAAGGTCAATTTAGAAAGCTTATACTTATTAGAAAGCATTACAACTGTGCTGGTAGTTATTGAAGTTAAAGTTGAATTACCCTTTCTTAATTTTTTTAGGATTTCTATACTATTAAGTGATATTTCAGAAAATCTGTATTCATTGAAGAAGATGATACCTGGTTCTACCGAGACCATTCAGTTTTTACCATTGGAAGATCCAACTGCTGATGGAGTACAACAGAAACAAATTAGAGAACATAAAATTTTTACTAAAGTTAAAGATGAGACATGGGACACAACACTTGATAATTTAATAAAACACGATGAAGGAAATGTACTTCAAAATGAAGTGAAACAAGAAGAAGATGGACTTGAAGCTGGATTAGAAGAAGGCAATAAGTTGAAAGAGAACACAGAAAGAATTTGTTTGATGTCGTTAGATATTACAGAACATGAACTCCAGATTTTGGAACAGCAGGCTCAGGAAAAATTTCTTAATGATGCTACTTGCAAATCTCCTGAGGTACTAAAAAAATAGAATAGAAAACAATTTTTATTCATTAGTAGGGGTTGGCTGATTTTTTCTGTGAAAGGGCAGTAAACATTTTAGGCTTTGCAGATCAATCACACATTTTCTGGTGTTACTATTCAATTCTGTCTAAAAATTTAGTGTGAGGGCGCCTGGGTGGCTCAGATGGTTGGGCGTCTGCCTTTGGCTCAGGTCATGATCCCAGGGTCCTGGGATCAAGTCCTGCATTGGGTTCCCTGCTCAGCGGGGAGCCTGCTTCTCCCTCTGCCTCGCTCTCTGTCTCTGATGAATAAATAAAATCTTTAAAAAAAAAAATAAAAATTTAGTGTGAAAGCAACTATAGACAAATGTAAACAAATGAGCTTGTTTGTGTTTCGATAAAACTTCATTAACAAAAACAAAAAGTGGGCTGAATTTGGCTTGTGAGTTATAGTTTGCTGCTTTTGACTTAGTATAATAAGCACAAATTAATGGTTTTGTAATGGAAAGATTTTAAAGTGCCAGTACATATTTGCTGTACTTTACTATTTTAGTATTTCTCCCTATTTTTATGTAATAGATACCTTGGCTTTTTGTGGATTTCCTATATATCTACTAGTGTTAACTCTTCCAAACTTGATTTTTGGGAGTAGTTATATTTCCTCATACAAGATTTTCTTTACTTACTAATGTGAGAGGGTTTCTAATAAACTAGCGTTTTTGCTTGACACCAACCTTTACTGTTATCTGGAGAGTCAGTGACCTACGTTTTTTTCTTAATAGATTGTTTTGAAGCATTCTATATTATCTGTCAACTTCATGTTTAGATTTCTAATTATTATGTTCTGAGTAGTTAATTTGTGAGGTTGTTTTTCTCCTGGCTAAGTTAAGAATATTTTTTATTTTTTTTAAAGATTTTCTTTATTTATTTGACAGAGACACAGCAAGAGAGGGAACACAAGCAGGGGGAGTGGGAGAGGAGAAGCAG